ATTTGAAAACCTAAGCACACACAGATGTTTATAGCAACTTTATCCATAATTGCCAAACCTAAAAGCCACCTAGATGTCCTCCAATTGGTGGATGGATAAATAAACTCTGGTACATCCAGACAATAAAATATTATTCATCACTAAACAGAGAGAAGCCATCAAGCTATGAAAAGATATGGAAGAATCTTAAATGCATATCACTAAATGAAAGAAACCAATCTGAAAAGATTACACACTGTGTGATTCCACTATATGACAATCTGAAAAAGGCAAAACTACGGAGACAGTAAAAAGATCAGTTGCATGCCCAACCAGTGTGGATCAGTGGTTGAGTGACGATCTCTGAACCAGGAGGTTGAGGTTTGATTCCCAGTCAGGGCACATGCCCAGGTTGTGGGCTTGATCCCCAGTGCGGGGCAGGGAGGAGGCAGCTGATCAATGATTCTCCCTCATCATTGATGTTTCTGTCTCTCTTTCCCTCTCCCTTCCTCTCTGAGATCAATAAAAATATATATTTTTTACAAGATCAGTTGCCTGCCAAGGGTTGGGGGTAAGAGGAAGAGATGAAGCACAGAGATGGAGCATACCGGATTTTAGGGCAGTGAAAATACTCTGTATGACATTATAATGATGGATACATGTCATTATACATTTGCCCAAACCCATAGATTGCACATCACCAAGACTGAATCATAATGTAAACTATGAACTCTGGGTGATTATGATGTGCTAATGTAGGTTCATCAATTGTAACAAATGTACCACTCTGATGGGACATACTGATCATGGGAATAGCTGTGCAGGTGTGGGGGTGAGGGGCACATGGGAACTCTGTACCTTCCCCTCAGTTTTGCTGTGAACCCCAAACCGCTCTGAATAGTCTATTAAAATATATATATTTAGTAAATATTATATATTTCAACTGAAAAAAATTCCTAAGGTAATTCACGTCCATAACAAAGTAGCAGGTGTAGTGGTTTATTTTTATTACAAGGAGAAGAAAAAATTAAGTATTTTTATAGAACACTTAATCCAGATAAGATTTTTGCCCTTCCTGAAACATTATGGTAATCTTAATTGTATGCTTATTAAGGAGAACATCTGACTGTTACTATAGAAACTACCTGAGCTGGTTACTGCCTTCATGATTTGAGCAGTTATACCTGTTGGGCCACTTAATCCTGAACTTACATATAAATATTTTTTTTAAAATGGCTAATGTTGCCCAGCCGGTGTGGCTCAGTGGTTGAGCATTGACCCATGAACCAGGAAGTCAGGGTTTGATTCCCAGTTTTGGGCTTCATCCCCAGTAGGGGGCATGCAGGAGGCAGCTGATCAGTGATTCTCTCTTGACATTGATGTTTCTATCCCTCTCTCCCTCTTCCTTCCTCTCTCTGAAAGACTCGGGATTCCAGGGAAGTCTCCTAGCCTGGGATGGGATGGAATGAGGGTAGGGGCTGAGCTGAGTCTTTTTAAAGGAGCAAGAGTCAGTCTGGTGACATGCAGGGGACATGGCACTTCAGACAGAGGGGAGAGCATAAGTAAAAAGAGTAAAAACAGAGGAGAGGACAGCACCGTGATGGCGAACCTTTTGAGCTCGGTGTGTCAGCTTTTTGAAAAACCCTAACTTAACTCTGGTGCCGTGTCACATATAGAAATTTTTTGATATTTGCAACCATAGTAAAACAAAGATTTATATTTTTGATATTTATTTTATATATTTAAATGCCATTTAACAAAGAAAAATCAACCAAAAAAATGAGTTCGCGTGTCACCTGTAAAAACAATATTGGAGCCCAGCTGGTGTGGCAGTTCAGTGGTTGAGCATCAACCCATGAACCAAGAGGTCATGATTCGATTCCCTTGGCTAGAGCACATGGGCGGGTTTCCAGTTCGATCCCCAGTGCAGGGCGTGCAGGAGGCAGCTGATCGATGATTCTCTTTCATCATTGATATTTCTGTCTCTCTCTCCCTCTCCCTTCCTCCCTCTGAAAATCAATAAAAACATATATTTTAAAGAAATACTGGATTACTCCGATTGTGCTAGGTTAATGGGGAAGGGTGCATTTTGTTTTGCTGGGCTGAAAGGGGGAGCTTAAAGCTCTGAGATTTACTACAAGCAATCTGCTGATCCCCTTTTGCCAGTCTTTTTGCAAGCAGATTTCCAGTGAACATTAAGAATAGAATCTCATTCGTGCAAAGGCACTGTGCCTTGGGTTCTTCTCAAATTACCTATACCTCAAGGGAGCATGGGTTCTAACACCAGGAAAGCCCTCTCCCCAACTCCTAAGGAGCAGTCACCCAACATACTCAGATTTAATCTACACACCTTCTCACACTCCATGCATTACCAACAACATAAGCTTTAATAGGTGCCCAGCTGTCACTTGCTGTGTGGTCTTTCACTTATTCCTCTTTCAGTGGGGAAGTAGTGACAGCATTTAATAAATTGATGATGCTTGGGAGTATTCTGAGGGCCTGATGTAATAACCATGGTTTGTGTTTGAAGGCACTGACTTTTTCTCTACCTGGTCCAACTCAACTGCTCAATAGCAGTGGCACAACTGTCTACATATCAAGGACTTTTTTAATTTATTGGGGTGGCATTGGTTAATAATATGATACAGGTTTCAGGCATACAATTCTACAATATATCATCCGTATATTGTATTGCGTTTACCACCCCAAGGCATGTCTCTTTCCATCATCATTTTCAAGGACTTTTTAAGGGACAATCAGTCGTGCTAAATTCCGTGAATACTAATTATATCTTCAGAAATCCTGAATTCTAAAAGGTGAAAGATTACAGAATGGCTAAAGTTATGCTCACATACAGGTATAATCATGCTCCAGCAGTATAAAAAATACCTACAAACAATGATACTGCAAGTGCGCCATAAAACCCTCAGTGCGCCTTTGGAATTAGATTTTAAAGTACTACTACCCACTCTAAATATTCCATTGATGTTAACTTCATATTGGCTATTGCTTTTAACAAAAGTTTCATTTCACGTTCTGGGCCTGATATTAAGAATCTCATCACCACTTAGTGCCGGTAACATCAAAAGACAATGTGCTTATCAAGTTGTCTTTCTCCAAGCTCCAAGGAAAGCACAAAACAAAAACAGCATCTGCTGTGGATCATCCCCTCCTTGTTTTCCAGGTTTGGAGCAGCCAAAAAGAGGTAGCTATGACACACATTACTTTCCAATAATATTTCCAAGTCCAAGCAATGATAATATGGGCAATACAGCTGTCCTCCACACTGGACCTCTGGGTCCACCTCTAGCCCTAAATTGGAAGCGTGCTCTGCCCTGCCAGATGTTCTCTTGCAGCCCGTGTCCACACTCTGTAACTTGTCAATATGGCTTTCCAGTTTAATACTAATTTTCAGAAATATGTTAGTAGGCAATATATAGGGTAGATATATACATAGAGAGAGGGGCAACATTTAGTCTTGGGCCCCGGGCCCTAGACACACACATCACACTCCTTCAAGTTCAAATCCCAGCAAGGCACCCCAAGCGCCCACCCCTTCCCACCCACCCAGGAGAGGGAAGGGCAGGAGCCTGGAGCAGAGGTTAAACCAGACACCAGCCAAAACAAACACCACTTCCAGAACAAGGCAAACTTTGGGTCTAGGTGGCTGCAGAGCCCCAGAAATGGCTGGAGGAGGGGAGGGAGTACCAGTTCGGCTCAGGGGAGGAGGACGGTGAGCGCACCCAGCACTGCTGTGCTGCAGAGGAAGCTGGTGTCCCCCGGGAACAAGGGCTTCGTCTCCGTTCCCGGCTGCGAAGCCCCTTCCTTGCCACCTGGCCGAGGCCTCCGGGTCCCTGTGAGCAACCCTGTCGCCCCACCCCTTGTCCCTACAGAAATGATCCCCACAGACCCGCAGGGGCACGAGGACCTACCTGGTGCAGCGTCTCAGCAGGGAGCTG